ACTTTTGGGAAAATACTCTGTGGACTGATGAGAGAAAAGTTGAACTTTTTGGAAGGTGTGTGTCCCATTACGTCTGGCTTAAAAGTAACACTGCATTTCAGAAAAAGAACATCATACCAACAGTAAAATATGGTGGTGGTAGTGTGATGGTCTGGGGCTGTTTTGCTGCTTCAGGACCTGGAAGACTTGCTGTGATAAATGGAACCATGAATTCTGCTGTTTACCAAAAAATCCTGAAGGAGAATGTCCGGCCATCTGTTCGTGACCTCAAGCTGAAGCGAACTTGGGTTCTGCAGCAGGACAATGATCCAAAACACACCAGCAAGTCCACCTCTGAATGGCTGAAGAAAAACAAAATGAAGACTTTGGAGTGGCCTAGTCAAAGTCCTGACCTGAATCCTATTGAGATGCTGTGGCATGACCTTAAAAAGGCGGTTCATGCTCGAAAACCCTCCAATGTGGCTGAATTACAACAATTCTGCATAGATGAGTGGACCAAAATTCCTCCACAGCGCTGTAACAGACTCATTGCAAGTTATCGCAAACGCTTGATTGCAGTTGTTGCTGCTAAGGGTGGCCCAACCAGTTAGTAGGTTTAGGGGGCAAACACTTTTTCACACAGGGCCATGTAGTTTTGGATTTTGTTTTCCCTTAATAATAAAAAAACCTTCATTTAAAAACTGCATGTTGTGTTCACTTCTGTTATCTTTTACTAATATTTAAATTTGTTTGATGATCTGAAACATTAAAGTGTGACAAACATGCAAAAAAATAAGAAATCAGGAAGGGGGCCAACACTTTTTCACACCACTGTATTATCAGTTCATGCATTCCCTGGGAATTGGTGCTGCTAGCGCCATGCTGAAGAAAATAAGACGAGTGTTCCTTTTAGATATATTTTGGCCATTTATTATAGGCCGGCTTAGACATGTGAAAGTTGACTAAAATGTTTTTTTTATTTTTTTGTTCCCATTCAGGTCCTTGTGTTTTATTTCCTGCGCTGCATGCTAGCTTTTACCTGTTGTGTGTGCGAGCTCTACTTCTACAAGTAAGTACAGCATACTACATATTGCACCTTACATCAGCTAAAATAGGATTTTACAGTAAATAAGGCTTAAAGATCTAATCTCATGGATCTCACACAGGGCCGTGTGTAAAAAGTTTGGTTTGCATGTGGGCCGGCTTCTGCTGGCGTTCCTCGTCCTGAGTGCAGGGATGTTCTGCTCCTCTGCAGGTGAGTCAGTGGGCCGTATTTGGTTTATCTGGTTGATCACAGGGAAATTAGACGATAACTTTTTGTGTGCTATTTTTCTTTTTTGACATAATTTTGTGTATGCACTGCAGGTTAATGTGTTTGTGTTATGTGCAGCTTTCCTCCCCAGTACGTTTTGCATGTACAGTACAGTGGTAGCTATGACTGGCTGGTTCCAGGGGCGCCCAAGTCTGGCTGTGCTGGGTATTGCAGCGGGGGTCATAGTGGGCTGGCCCTTCAGTGCCCTGCTGGGGTAAGAAATAGTCAATATTTTATATGTAGAGTGACTAGAAGGGTCCAAAATATTTTCTACCACAAATAAAATATTTCCTCCTATAAATATTCCTAATCAGACATGAACCTGTATTGCTTTATTTATATTACAATGCATTTTTGTCCTTATGAGAATAAGTATTTGGTTGATTTGTATTTTAAGAATTTTTTTTTGTTTTTGTTACCCTTACATTACATTTTTGTTTTTGGGGGCTTAACCCATTTAATCCAAAATTGTATTTGCTCACAACTAATAACAGTTGATAAATCTGAGCCAAGTTTAGCTCTGCTGCAGATATTATAATATTTTAACATAAAATGATACATACACACTACCATTTAAAAGTTTGGGGGCATTTTTATTTTTATTTTTTTTACAGAAATTATTACTTTTATGTAGAATGCATTTATTTAGCATTTAATTGATCAAAAGTGACAGTAAAGACATTTATAATGTTACAAAAAATGCTGTTTAAAATAAGTGTTGTTATTTTGAACTTTCTATGTCTTCATCAAAGAATCCTGAAAAAAAATGGTTTCCACAAAAAAAAAAGGCAGCACTATAATAATTAAGTGTTGCTTGGGGATCAAATCAGCATATTAGAATGATTTCTGAAGGATCAAGTGACACTGAAGACTGGAGTAATTCAGCTTTGCATCACAAGAATAAATAATATTTTAAAATCTATTAAAATAGAAACCAGTTCTTTTAAATTATAATAATATTTCACAATATTACTGTATTTACTGATTAAATAATTGCAGCCTTGGTGAGCATGAGACTTTTTTTTTAAAGCATTAAAAAAATATTACCAACCTCAAACTTTTGGTACTCGCTTCTTTTTTACCTAATGCAACTTTCAAATCTGCAGTTTTATAATAGGATTTAATCGGCTACCTATTCAAATATGGGTTTTGTGTTTTTTCCACAGATCAGAATTGTGAACATTTACATGTTTAGCAGGTAGATAACCCAAGTTTGACATGTCCTCATCCCACTTCTTCTTTCTCACTACTGCTATCCAGTCTACTCTATACTTAGAGAGAGAGATAAAAGGCAAAAATAATTAAAAAGTGAGGGTAACACTGTAGTTCTTGCAGATTAATCTATGAATTATACTGCAGTTCCTTTATAAGTAAAAATGGCTAGTTGCTATGTTTCATTTGCTCAACAAAGTCAATATTTACTCGCATTTGGTGAAAAGCCATAGAAATAACCCCGATCAGCCAACTAGGTGAATTTAGCCTCTGTTTACTGTTTGTTTCTGCAGAATACCCATTGCCTTTGACCTGTTGTTTCTGAAGAAGAAGTGGAAGAGTTTTATCACATGGACTCTGGTGGCATTGCTCCTCTTTCTGGTTGGAAAACTCATTGATTTCTGTGTCCATCTTAGGTTGTTGAATAGTTTTTGTGTCTTATTTTGTCTGACTTCAGACACTGAGATTCCATCAATAATAAAATGGCAAAAAATATCCAAATTCAGTGTATTATACTGATAACACTTATCATTGTTACATGTTTCTATAGGTCCCTGTTGTTGTAGTAGACAGCTACTACTATGGCAAGCTGGTGATTGCTCCTCTGAATATAATACTATACAACGTGTTCACTCCTCATGGGCCAGATCTTTATGGTACACTTCAGATCATTTGTATATACATTTTGAAAATAATATTGACTCATATTAAAATTAAACTAAAATGGTTTACAGTAAAGCACGTAATTGTTCATTCTTCTCAGTGCCATAAGATGGCATCAGTGATCAAATTTGTTCATTAAAATGTTTTTTTTTTTTTTTTTTTAGGGCAAAAGCCCCGGCACTGCAGTTTTTGCTGATGGTGATACAGTGGTACTGAATGATTAGTATATTCATATAGTATGGTATTTATTTACTCTACCCTTCAAAAGTTTGACGTTGGTACGATTTTTTTTGTTGTTTTTGAAAGAATTTCTTATGTTCACCAAGGCTGCATTTATTTGATCAAACATAGAGTAAAAACAGTAATTTTGTGGAATTGTTTTATTCATATTATTTCTATTTTAATATATATAAAATGAAATTTTTTCTTGTAATGGCAAAGCTGGATTTTCAGCAGCCATTACTCCAGTCTTTAGTGTCACATTAACAGTTGAAATTATCAATGTTGAAAACAGTTGTGAACCGTGATGCAGGCTTTGTTTAAAAAAAAAAAATCAGAATTCTTTGTTGAATAGAAAGTTCAAAAGAACATTTATTTGAAACAAAAACTGAAGAATTATAATAACATTTGTAACAATAGAAATTGTAACACAAATGTCTTTACTGTCAATTTAATGCATCCTTGCTGAATAAAAGTATGAATATATATTTTAAAAAAATCTTACTAATCCCAAACTTTTGAATGGTAGTGTATATGGAACTCTTTAAAAAAAAAAAGCCTTTAAAAACTATGGACAACTGCACATCTTTATTGGCATATTTCCTCAGGGTTTTGTAAATTAGTTTGCTAAACCTGCGTAAAGTATGCATGTTTTCTGTCTGTTTATCCATGTAGAAGTGCTATCACTTCATATTCCAGCGCTACCGTCTGGAACACTACACCATCTCCTCCAACTGGCTGGCTCTCGGCTCTGTGCTGCTGTTTGGAGTGCTCTCGCTGTCCCGATCTGTGGCCCTCTTCAGAGGTAAGGGCAAAACATGTAAGGGCTCAACAATAACGATGTTGAGAAAGAGATACAGAGAGAGAGATTTAGACTAGTTCTGCTGAAACATGCCCTCATATTAGAGTTATCTAGCTGCCAGATGAAGTTGAGGATAAAACAAAAGGATAAAAATCATATTCTTTACCTTGTGCAGTAAAGTACTCCTTTTGTGATGTCTCTCTCACATGGGGTTGCTTTGTGTTTTAAGGCTATCATGCTCCGCTGGATTTGTATCCAGAGTTTCATCGCATTGCTAAAGACCCTGCAATCCACACGGTTCCAGAAGGAAGACTGGTCAATGTTTGTGCGGGGAAAGAATGGTACCGCTTCCCCAGCAGTTTTCTCCTGCCCAACAAGTGAGTTTGAATTCTGATTAAATTCTCAAAGACGCCACATGAATATAAACCTCCGCTCAAAAGTCTGAGGTTAGTATTAGGGCTGCACGATAAATCGCATGCGATATTTAACACGCATCTTGTCAGTAAAGCCGTTCTGTAATCAGCGGTAAATCTCCATCACGTGCGAGCTTTCACATGGAGCAGCATTAACTACACAGAGCCGTTGTTCACCGACAAGCTGCGCAAAACATGCACAAAATATGATCGTGGTTTTGCGCAGCTTGTCAGTGAACAATGGCTCTGTGTATTTAATGCTACTCCATGTGAAAGCTCGCAAGTGATGGAGATTTACCGCTGATTACAAAATGGCTTTACTGACAAGATGCGCGTTAAATATCGCATGCGATTTATCGTGCAGCCCTAGTTAGTATGAGTTGTTTTTTGCTTTTGAATGAATTTTAATACTTTTATTCAGCAAGGATGCATTAAATGGATCAAAAGTGACAGTTAAGACATTTATAATGTTACAAAAGATTTCTGTTTGAAACAAATGCTGTTCTTTTAAACTTTATATTCATGAACGAATCTAGAAAAAACCTATTTCCACAAACACATCAAGCAGCACAACTTGTGTGAAAAAAAAAAAGTTTTTAACATTGATGATAATAAGAAATGTTTCTTGAGCAGCAAATCAGCATATTTGAATGATTTCTGAAGGGTCATGTGATACTGAAGACTGGAGTAATGATGCTGAAATTCAGCTTTGCCATCACAGGATTAAAATACATTTAAAATATATTGAAATATAAAACATATTTTAAATTGTAATAATATTTCACAATATTACTGCTTTGGCTATTTTGGATCAAATGAATGCAGTTTAATATAAGATGATAAACTTATTTCAAAAACCTAAAATAAAATCCCACAAACTTTCGAACACTATCGTAGGTCTATGATATATACTAACTGTATCATCTTGTTTTACAGCTGGCACTTACAGTTTATCCAGTCAGAGTTCAGGGGTCAGTTACCTAAGCCATATTCCATGGGTCCTGATGCCACCTGGATGATCCCATCAGACATGAATGATCAGAATCTTGAGGAGCTGTCACGATACGTTGAGTGTTCCACTACATACATTTCCATTTAGCATTTGACTAATTGCAAGGTTATGAAGCCTAATAACTGTTGAATGTGTGAAAGCTCACTCTGTTTTTTTTTTGTTTTTTTTAAGAATCAAGATCAACAGTGATTAGACTTTTTTTCTCTCCATACTTCCTCTTCATTATCTTAAAGGGGTCATATGTTGCTAAAAAGAACATTATTTTGTGTATTTGGTGTAATTAAATGTGTTTATGTGGTTTAAGGTTCAAAAAACACATTATTTTCCACATACTGACTGTACATTATTGTTTCTCCTCTATGCCCCGCCTTTCTGAAATGCGTCGATTTTTACAAAGCTCATCGGTCTGAAAAGCGAAGTGTGCTCTTATTGGCTAGCTATACAGTGCGTTGTGATTGGCCGAATACCTCAAGCGTGTGACGGAAATGTTACGCCCCTTACTATACTGTGATGCCGTGTCCGGCCGGAGCGACGAGACAAAAACATTAAAACCCATTATAAACGAGGCATTTGTTGCATCCAGTGGGGACATAATTGCGGATTATAATGACTTATACTGCCTTTTTACGCGTTGCATTGCGCCGCGTAAATATAAAACCATGTCTGCATTTGTGATCGGAGAAATGACAAACAACAAGCGCTACTCTACACTGCTCAAAACTCGCGTTTGAATCGTCAGTGGCAAATTCTTTAAATATAAAAAACGTACTTACAGTCCGTGAGTCAGAACAGCCGGCACTGTAGTCTACTCTACCAGGATCAGTAAACAGTCCTCCATAAAATGCGCTGCACACATCTGAATATTTGGGTTGAACTGTTCTGGAACAGTGTTGTAAATACAACTTAACCACTAATTTCTAGTCGTGTCCTCTTTTGGAAGACCAAACTATTTTCGCTTTCGCAACGAAACACAGAGTCTTCACAACATGGCAGCGGCGGGGGCAGCAACAATAAAGTTAA